CGATTTTGGGTCTTCCTGACGCTCGGACTCGCCGAGTACCCAAACTGGACTCGCCGAATCAGGACAACTCGTCGAGTCCACTATGGGACTCGCCGAGTCCATGACTCAGAAACACAAAATTCGAATTTTGCAGTTAACATGCAAACAATCAAGCATCAATTTAATAGAAACTAATCTAGGCTCTGATACCACTGATGGGTTTTGGTCATATGAACATTCCTATGTGCACATACAAACCCTAATGCTTGGATCTAGGTTTCTCTAATTAAACATGCATTGAATCCAAGACTTCTAATGGCTAATTAGGTATAAGAACAATACAATACCAGAGTTAGAAGCATACCTTGAAACACTTGTTTGATCTTCTTGTTCTTGGAGCTTTAGAGTCACAATTGTCACTCCTCTAATGGCTTACAAACACCAACTATCAAAGAGAATGATTTGAGAGAGAGGAGAGAGGAGGAAATCGGCCAGGGTATCCTTGCTATAGAGGAGGTGTCGATTTCCCTATCCCAAGGGGTCTATTTATACTTGTAAAGCTCCTAGGGTTTTTCCCTTAAACCCTAATTGGATAACTTAGACTCTAAGTAATCCTAATCTTTCCTTGGATATGCCTTGGACGATTTTAGGCTTATCTTAGCCCTAGAAATCGTCCACCGTATATCCTATAATGATTCACAGCCTAAAGTGTAACTATCAAACAATTGACAGTTTATACCCTCTTATTTAATTAATCTCATTAAGTCACCAAATTCATACTAATTAATATATGACTTATATTAATCAAATAAGAATATTATTATTCCTTATATTATTCTCATAATATATTAATAATATCTATTCTCTCATAATAAATCATCCTGTCAAGTTGCTATGGTGAAGGCAACCCAAAAGGACCATGCACAATCGGGTCAAATACTTGCCAAATATAGTTGCAGCGTTAGACACTATTCCAACAGTATGATAGTTAGGGTAATACCTTGGAATATTCATATTTGAATGTATAATAGAGAAAACCATAGATCCAATGTATTTAGGGTTGCATGTACACCATATGAGTGTTAGAATGCTCAAAACCCAACAGGGATGTCATGTTCCAATACAAAGCAAAGACATAAACAATACATCATAAGCCTTACAACACTTATTTACAACTAGTTTCATATAATTCAAAAATCCCTCTTCATCATCCAAACTATGCTCTGGCTCAACTACCTGTAATATAAAAAGCTGAGTGGGTTAGGCTTAGGAGCCTTGTGAGCATATAGGGTTTTCAACCCACAAATAATAATAAATTTATTAACTTCATCGACCAATAATAAATTTATTAATTTCATCAACCCACAATAACCCTGATTACATATTCCCATTATCCTCACTTTACGTCCCTAAACACCTATCATAAGGGATCTAGCCTAAGGATCATCATCGGGATGGAATTTACTGCTAAGGGGATTCATCATCCATATATGTCCGTAAAGCAACCATGAGGGGGATGGAGTACACCAACGAACATATAGTTCACCAACACCTACAGGTTGCGAGCCTGCTAGCGTTCCACATGACTGTCTATAAAGGTCCGTGGTCGTCATCTATACTCCTCTAGATGACTAGAACAACAACAACAACAACATCGAGGTCTCTCATCATTTTAACACACACCAACTATTTGTAGATAAACTACATATACAATTTAAATCATATGAAAACTTGTATAAAACATTTATTCAACACCTATCTCAAATAAGCAAACAATAAATATACACATAGCACATATTTTATAAAAAAAAATACTTCATATTTTTTGTGTAAGATGAAAGTGACTATACACTCACATGATTTAACGATAATCGGGCAACACATCATTTCTTAAAACAATATTGGACTTCATGTGGGCAGAGTTTTGGCTCGACGACTCTTTTTCTCAGGATCTTCAGGCTCTCCAGGGCTTGCTTACGATGCTAGGATGATATAATAGGGTTAGGGGTAATTTTTGCAATATTGAAGAAAGTTTAGGGTGGGAGAATGAAAGTTTGCAACCTAAAATCGGATGGCATCGGGTGCTATTTATAGTGACTGATCCTAGGAGTTATGCTGGGTGTAACTTTAGAGTACGATGGGCGTACTCCCTCTTCAATCAGAATGTTGGGCGTACTAAGGGATAACTCTGGATGCATCCAAGCTACGAACACATGGTTGTCATGCAATGGAGTAGGCTACGTGACCAATCTCGAACCGTGAACATGAGTACGTTGGGCGTACTCTGAATTTTCAAACTTTAAAATTCGTAACTTTCTCATACGAGCTTCGTTTTTGACGTTCTTTATATCCACGCGTAGATGAGACTATGCTCTATAACTTTCGTTTAGACTCCGTCGGCTATCTTCGACTTTATTTTTAAAGTTATATTTTTAACAGGTCGGGACATGAAAAGTCCATTAAGAATTCATAACTTCTTCATCCTAAGTGCGTTTTTGTTTGTCGTTTTGCCGTTAGACTACTATTAACAAGATCTTCGATTCTCGTTTAGGTTGTTTCAGCTAAAAATCACTTGATCTAAAATTCGAATTTCGGGCTGCACACTGCTATACCAAATCTTAGAAAATTCATAACTTTCTCATACGAAGTCAGATTTGGACATACTTTTTATGCACGCTCTCGGTTAACGAACACTACAATTTTTCATTTAGTTCATTAATGGTAAAAAGCACTTTATCTTAAATTTATTTTTTACATCACACAGCATCGAGTCGGTTCTATCGCAAAATATCGACATGTCATAACTTCTTCGTTATAACTCAAATTTTGGTATTCTTTATATCTATGGAATCCTTATTTCAACCACTACAACTTTCTTCATAGATATCGCGTTTATCTAACATTTATTTTCGACGCTTATTTGTATTCTTAACTTATTAAATCATAATAATTAAGCAATAAACACATAATAATCAAATAATACATCTTTATTATTTCAAAATAAGTCACAAAGATTGACCTAGACTATTACATCATCATTAATGCCTAGCTTAGAAACACGGACATTACAATATCAAAATATAAAAAAACTAAATAGAAAACAGTGACTAACATATCAAAATATCAAAAGCTAGATATGCTGGAATATTAATCAGGACAAATTAAATCATTGAACATATTTTTTTAATCTTTTATGTTTTAACTAAATTGGATCGGAAAAGCAAGCCAAAATAACTAGTAATTAGATTCTCTATCTCTCTGCATCCTTCATTTTCATATCCAGAAATGAAAACATAAAATATAAAATCATTAAAAATAAAAATCAAGTAATTAGATTTTTTGTCTCTCTATATCCAAATCTGAATACACAAAATATATAAGATCATTAAAAATAAAAATATGTAAATAAAACTTCAATAGTGGAACATAGATCTATAAAATGAAATCTTTAATATTTATTCCAAATAACAGAAATCGATTATAAAGATCTAAATAATTAAAAAGAAAACCACACATATGAAGTAGTGCATTTTTAGAGAAATATGTTGTATATATACTAAATATTTTTAAATCCACTAGATATGTTAGGTGTTATGTGATGGTTCAGGTGAGAGAGGGGCCAATGGTGTTGCATGGTTGAAGCCAACAAGATTTTGAGATCTATAAAACAAAACAAAAACAAAAAAAATCTCAGATTTCATATTGTAAGATTTACCGATCAATGATAAGATACGGAAAAAGAAAACAAAATGTGTAGGCTATAGCCACTTTTAGTACTTGTTCAAACTTCATGAACTTTTACTGTTCGACATAGACTTTTACTGTTCAACATAGATATAAAGGTAGTCAAAAATATCCTAAATTGTGGTATGTATGAAGGTTGATGGAACGAATAAATAGATAGAAATAAAGGGATGCGGATGTCATAGAGGTGAGGTGATGGTATAGTGAAGGTATTGTAGAAGACGTTTCGAAGGGGCAACATGCATCGTCGGATTGTGGTCAGGGAATAGAAGCAAAAACGATTGTGATGGCAAGTGAGAGTAATGATGGCTGTTGTGGTGGTGAAATAAGGAGAGAATGAGTTATTTCCAGAAGTGGGATGAGGTAGCATTGGCGGATCGGCGGATCCTGGTGTCACAAGTATAGTGGAGGCTGTAGGAGATTAAGGCCCTGTTTGGTAGACTCTTAATTTTTCAGATTTAGACTGTTTGGTTACATATGAATATACGCCTCTTAGGGCTGTTTGGTAAGATCTGAATTTTTATGATCTGAATTTTTAAGAGGTCTGAATTTCTAAGAGGGTCTGAATTTTTAAGATCTGAATTCTTAACATGTTGTTTGTTTGGATCATCTGAATTGTTGTGCTAAATAATAAAAAAAGACCATTTTACCCTTTTGTATTATCTATTGTTAAATTCAATATTTTTATTTAAAAAAAAAACATAAACACCATATAAAATCCAAACAAAATTAAACACATATCCAATTCAATATTGCACCTCAGTTGATTTCTTTGGATGAAAGTATAATGGCACCTCTTTTCATTTTGTGAATCAATAATTGAACATATAGTGAAATGAAAAACTGAATGAAATCATACTTGTATAGCTGTATGCACAATCATAATTTCTTTGAACTCATGAATTCATAATGCAAAAACTATAACTCAGTTAACTTGGTTATCATCAACAAATTCTTGAAATTGCAAAGAACTATTAATTATTTTCTATCATTTACCATCTAGAAATCCCATGAGTTTCTTCAAACCATTAAACAATAATGAAGAAAAAGAATCTTGAGATGAATTATTAATTGTTATTACCAATTGTTGATCAACCAACTTTTTAACAAATTTAACAAATAATGTATGATAATTGAAGCTCCAATCTGAAACGAATTCTTCAGCCAAAACCCATTTGTCATCTTCCTCCATTCGATCCCATTTTCGCCTTAATTCCTTTTTCCCCAATCCAAGGTATAAGCACAGTTCTGCATACAAGAGCTTCCTGCTCCTTTTCATGGCTTACAGAGTTTGTACCATTCGGGTTTTCATCATTTCAAGCATTAAAATCGAATTACAGGATAAAAAGAAAATGTTACCTGCAGAAGATGTCGGAGGCAAAGGCAGCACAGGCGAAGCAGCGGAAAAGGGTGGCGAAGCAGCGGAAGACGGAGGCGAAGATGACGACGACGGCGACATTGCAGACATGATCGGAGCTAGAGAAGAAAAGGGAAGAAGAGAACCGGCGTCGATGAGAAAGCTGGAGGGCTTCACTGCCGGCGGCGATGGTGGAGGCGATGTCTCTAGCGGAGGCATTGTCCGAGGGGGATGACCAGAGGGGATGGGGAAGGGTTGCAATCAGAGTTTCAGTGGAAGGAACAAGAAGAGCGAAATTTATGAAGAAGAAAGGGCAAAGAAAAGAGAATATGAGATGAAGTATATGGGCAAAAGGGGAACACAGGTTCTTTTTATTTTTTTTTCAGACATGTATTTACATCTGAAAGTTTAAGAGGTATCTTAAAAATTAAGGCCCTGTTTGGTAGCCTCTTAATTGAAAAATTAAGAGGCAGACTCTTAATTTTTCAGATTTAGACTGTTTGGTTACATATGAATTTACGTCTCTTAATTTTTAAGATACCTCTTAAACTTTCAGATGTAAATACATGTCTGAAAAAAATAAAAAGAACCCGTGTTCCCCTTTTGCCCATATACTTCATCTCATATTCTCTTTTCTTTGCCCTTTCTTCTTCATAAATTTCGCTCTTCTTGTTCCTTCCACTGAAACTCTGATTGCAACCCTTCCCCATCCCCTCCGGTCATCCCCTTCGGACAACGCCTCCGCTAGAGACATCGCCTCCGGCAGCGAAGCCCTCCGGCTTTCTCTTCGACGCCGGTTATCTTCTGCCCCTTTCTTCTCCAGCTCCGATCATGTCTGCAATGTCACCGTCGTCGTCATCTTCGCCTCCGTCTTCCGCTGCTTCGTCACCCTTTTCCGCTGCTTCGCCTGTGCTGCCTTTGCCTCCGACATCTTCTGCAGGTAACATTTTCTTTTTATCCTGTAATTCGATTTTAATGCTTGAAATGATGAAAACCTGAATGGTACAAACTCTGTAAGCCATGAAAAGGAGCAGGAAGCTCTTGTATGCAGAACTGTGCTTATACCTTGGATTGGGGAAAAAGGAATTAAGGCGAAAATGGGATCGAATGGAGGAAGATGACAAATGGGTTTTGGCTGAAGAATTCGTTTCAAATTAGAGCTTCAATTATCATACATTATTTGTTAAATTTGTTAAAAAGTTGGCCGATCAACAATTGGTAATAACAATTAATAATTCATCTCAAGATTCTTTTTCTTCATTATTGTTTAATGGTTTGAAGAAACTCATGGGATTTCTAGATGGTAAATGATAGAAAATAATTAATAGTTCTTTGCAATTTCAAGAATTTGTTGATGATAACCAAGTTAACTGAGTTATAGTTTTTGCATTATGAATTCATGAGTTCAAAGAAATTATGATTGTGCATACAGCTATACAAGTATGATTTCATTCAGTTTTTCATTTCACTATATGTTCAATTATTGATTCACAAAATGAAAAGAGGTGCCATTATACTTTCATCCAAAGAAATCAACTGAGGTGCAATATTGAATTGGATATGTGTTTAATTTTGTTTGGATTTTATATGGTGTTTATGTTTTTTATTTAAATAAAAATATTGAATTTAACAATAGATAATACAAAAGGGTAAAATGGTCTTTCTTATTATGTAGCACAACAATTCAGATGATCCAAACAAACAACATGTTAAGAATTCAGATCTTAAAAATTCAGACACTCTTAGAAATTCAGACATTTTAAAAACTCAGATCTTAAAAATTCAGATCTTACCAAACAGCCCCTAAGATGAGAGACATAGCAACAACGACAAACAAAGGCAGTGGTGTAGGGTGTCGTAGGCATGATGGCCGCCGACTACGTAATGGCCTCTGAAGGCTAGTTAGTAAGGTTGTCAAGCTAGGTTTTTTTTTTAAGAAGTTGACTTTTTAGGGCTATTTTTTTAAGAGATATGTGTTTGGAAAGAAATCGGTAAAGGAGAAAATTAAAACTTTCCTTATATAATTGTTTAAAGAGATGAGTATGTTAAGGTTTTTTATCTATTAATTTTGTTTGACTAATATTCAATCACATGGATAACCAACTTTTAGTCTATACCATACAAAATTAATTCAATAATCTATATATTTTTTTTTCTTATTTTTAAAACTTTAGTCCTAAAAATTATGGTACCTCAATTATATATATATATATATATATATATATATATATATATATATATATATATATATATATATATATATATATATATATAATAATAATAATAATAATAATAATAATAAACTTAAACAATAATTTCGTTAAAATAAAATAAAGGTTTTTATAGAAAATTCCTAAAATTATATGTTTAACAAAATAGTCACAAGTTAATCCGTTACCGGTTTAAACCGGAAAAAAATGGTCAAATTGCCACTTTTACCGGTTTTGCGACTATTTTGTAAACTTGTGCAAACTATTAAGACTTTTTCCCCGTTAACAATGTGTAATGATTATGAGTTTGCATCATTTTTTTTTTGTATTTTTTTGTATAAAGTCACGATTTTAGAAAAAGAACCAAATATTTACTAGTATTTATTAAATCATGCTTAATATTTGGTTTTAACGGTAATACCGTATGATAATAAAAAAAAAATTAAGTAGTTTATTGTTTCATATCATTCGAATCGGACAGAGGTAAGTTTCAATCCTAGATTCAACGTTATCTCAAAAAAAAAAAGTTGGTGAAACATTAAAGTTATAAATGAACATAAAGCTATATTTGACGTACTATAACTGAAAAGCTAGCTGTTAAATAAAAAGTTAGCTAATATATAAAAAGCTAACTGATAAAAAATAATGTTTGGTAAAACTAGCTGAAATATATAAAATTACATAAAAGGACATGTAAGCGTATGTGTTTCTATATTTAATTAAGGAGTGTATTTGGAAATTTTTTAAAAAGCTCCAAAAAAGCTAGTTTAAGTAGTTTTTCAAAAAACTAGTTTATAATCTAAGTTATAAACTATTTTTTGACTTACCAAAAACGACAACATAAAAAAGCTCGAAAAATAAGCTAGCTATGGCGCACCAAACACAGCCTAAGTCAAAACACGTACAGTCCTCCACTGATGTATGTTATCAATTGCGCGCTATAGCGGTGCTATATCGCCGCTATAGCATTTCGCGGTGATCCACAACCGCTATTTTCAAGTTATCGGTTTTACTTTGCGGTACCACAATTTGCACCGCAATTATCCGCTATTCACCGTTCTTTGTATCACCGAGATAGCGGCTCTATGGGCGCTTTTTCTTTTTATTTCACGTTTGATTACATTTAGGCCATTTAATTAATTTGTCAATGAAAAAGTAACTTTTAGTGCGCCCGATAATTGCATTTTAAAAAGCCCAATATATAACCTAATTAAAATCATTCACAATTTGGTGAATTACAAACCTATAGTGACTTGAATCCTTGATGAATGACGAGGGCTTGAGCTGCTGCGATGCTGCCTATGACGAATGGACGATTAACGAAGATGAACACACCTGCGGATGCTTCTTCGAATCTAGCTCCTTAGTTAATCGATCACAGTCCACAAAAAACTTGAATTTGGTCTTCACTCTTCGGCCTTCACTACCCTTCAATCGACCTCCACTACTCCACAGTCCATACTCCACAACATCGAGGTGCATTGACTCCCTTCTCCTTTAATCGGCTTCCAAGTTCCAACAGCCAAACAGGTAACAACTAACAACCTAATGCTTTCTTTTCTAGAAAACAGTAGAGACTAGAGGCTAGAGACATACACATTGTGATTTCAAGTCTCAACATATATATATTCACTATTCAATGACATTCTCTTATTTTACACATACAATTTTACATATAACTTTATAGTTTACATATATTCCACTGTTTACATATATTCCATTGATCAATTTTTACATTTATGTTACATGGAGAATGAAGTTGTTATTCCACTTATTAGTTTCATACAACTTTACTGTTTACATATATTCCACTGTCCATTTATGTTTTTCAGTTTGTGAAGTCATGTGAATTGTGATCTAATCAGTTAAGATGTAAGAAATAGGAACATAGAACATTAAGTTGTTATTTTGTTAATGAATAATGAGTGATGAGTAATGACACGTGATTGTGAAACAGGTTTAATCAATTGTGAATTTGCAAATATGGAAGAGAATTCTTCACATGCTTCTGTGAATCCGTCCACCACCACTCCTACTAATACGAGATCAGATTCCAATATAACTAGTGTAAATGCAAATAAAGATATGGCTTGGGAATGGGGAGTTCAAAAGGATCCATTAAAAAAACAAAATATTTGGTGCACCTTGTGTGACAAGAGAGTATGTGGAGAGATCATAAGGTTAAAAGAACACCTCACTCATACGGGAGCAAATGTAGCTGCTTGCACTAAGGTGACTACGAAGATCACTAAGAAAGTGCTTGAATCAATGAAAGAAAAAGAAAAGAAAAAAAGGAAAGAAAAAGAACAACAAAAATACTTAGATCAACAAGTTGTAGACCTTTCTGAAAATGAGGACGAGCAAGATGATACCCTACAAGTTATAAAAAGAAAGTTTGTAAGTTCTAGTAATATATAGGGTCCTATTGATGATGTTTATAAGTCAGACCATGGGGAAGGAAAGCAATCTACATTGGATAAGAATAATCCGATTAAAGAGAAGTTGAAGAAGGTAGCTTGGAAGAAGATTGCGGTTTGGGCTTATTCAGTAGGGTTACCTTTCAATGTCGTACGTGATGAGAGTTTCCAAGATGCGATCAATGCCATTGGAGAATATGGAAAAGGTAATCATTTTTGTTACCTTTCTGATTTGATTAATGTTAAGTTGTTAACATTTTTATATTTACTAATTTTGTTAATTATATAAATGATAGGTATGCCGGCTCCAAGTTATCATAATATGCGGGTGACATTGCTAAAGGATGTGTTAGAAGATACCCACCAGTTTGTGGATTCATTTCAACCACAATGGAAGAAATTTGGATGTAGCATTATGTCTGATTTTTGGACAGATGGCAAGCAGAGATCTTTGATTAATTTTTTAGTCAATTGTCCTACTGGTACAGTTTTTCTAAAGTCGATTGATGCATCGGAGCATATACATAATGCTGAATATATTGTGAAGAAGGTAAATGAGGTGATAGTAGAAGTTAGAGAGGAAAACGTTGTATAGGTAATATTTGTTTCTAATTAGTTATTAGTTATTAATTTTATTTTAAAAAAATTATATCCATTTTATTAGTTAAGTTTTTTTTTTTTAATTTTTTTTTTATTTCTTATAGTTTATTACAGAAAACGGTTCAAACTACAAAGCTGCAGGAAAGATTTTGGAAGAACAATATCCAAAATTATTTTGGACTCCATGTGCATCACACTGTGTGAACCTCATTCTACAAGATATTGTGAAGAAAGAAGCAACAATCGTGACCGCTTTGACTGAAGCAAGAGCTATTGTGGTTTATATTTATAACCAATGAAGGATTCTTAATATAATGAGAAAGTTGACAAAGAATAGAGAGTTGCATATGTCTTATGTAACTAGATTTGCTACCAGTTTTACACCTTACAGGTGTCCATGAGAATCGACACCATCTCCAAGTGTTGTTTGTATCTAAGCAATGGAGAAAAAGTGACTTTGCAAAGAAAGCTCCTGGAAAGAGAGTTGAGAAGATAGTAGCAAAACAATCTTTTTGGGATGGTGTATATTTAGCTTGCCAAATATATGCTCAATTGGTGGATATTGTTCGTTTGGTTGACACAGAAGAAAGACCGTTCATGAGATACATCTATGATGCGATGAGTTGAGCGCAAGATCAAATAAGGAAAAATCTAAATGATGGGAATAATGACAAAAAAAAGATTGGCAGGTAGAATTTTTTCTATCATTCAAACAAGATGTAACGACCAACTTCTTCATCCCTTACATTCAGGTATAAATCTTTTACTTATTAGTTATTAATTTAATTTAAAAATAGTATGCAATTATTTAATTTTAAAATGTTAGTGAATGACTTAATGGACAGCTGGGTGTTTCCTTAATCCCGTAATTTTTCCTGGAGATAAATCAAAGGAATATGAGGCCAATAAACAGATTATGACGATACTTTATGTTGCTATTTACCGTCTTGTTCCCGATGAAGATGAAATGATACTTTGAGACAAGAATTGAATCTCTACATTGATTTAAGTGGACAATTTGGATCCCCATCTGCTAAAAGGAGTATGACAAAAGTTGCACCGTGTAAGTATAAAAATTATAATGTAATCAAAAGTATTTATTTCTTAATTTTTATTAACTTAGGAACTTTTTTTTTTATAAATTGTAGATATATGGTGGCGTTCTTATGGAATAGATACACCTATCTTACGAAAGTTTGCTATCACGGTTCTTAGTCAAACTTGTAGTGCTTCACCTTGTGAACGAAATTGGAGTACATCTGATAATGTAAGATTTTTTACTTATTTTTAACAATTATTTTTATAATTATAATTTATAAATGATATTAGCTTGATTGGAACTTTTAACATATTAACTAAAATATTTTAATTCTTTTGTTGCAGCTGTATTCTAAGAAAAGAAATTGTTATTTGCAACAAAACTAAATGAACTTTTATTCATCCAATACAACATAAGGTTGCAAAAGCACTTCATATCTTTACAAAACAAATATTTGGATCCTATATATTTTGCTACGAGATGTTGAGGAGAATGATGACTCAACTATACCAACGGAAGATGACCTTCAAGACTTTGTAGATGGTGGTGATGACCTTCTTTGGTCAGATGTGCAAGAAGTAATGGGAGAAAATGTAGACGATCAACCAAATACTAGGAGCAAACAACGTTATAGAGACGATGATTGTGATGATATTAGAGATGTGAGGAACAATCTTGATGAAGAAGTGAATGCCTTCGATGATGTTGACTCAGAAGCCGAACCCTTGCCATGCGATTAAAGTGTATTTGACACTTTGACACTAGGTAACTTCTATATTACTATATTAGAACTTTTAACATTATGTTATGTTTTTCTATGAATTTTTAGGTTTTCTGATATTAATTATATATAGACTTTTTAGATTTTATGATAGTAATCTAAATATAATATAAAAATATTAAATTATATGTAATATTAAAAAAACCGCTATATAGCACCGCTATACTTCCGCAAAAACCGCGAATTCAAATAGCGGCCTGTGACCGCTATCGAAATTGTGACCGTGATAACTGCATAGCTGCTACAACAAAATCTGTTGATTCTATTCCAAATGAAATTACTCACTTATAAATTTGTATCCAAACGTTGCAGAATCCTCAACATTTTTAGAGATAGTTGATTGCAATAAACTCAAAAAGATAAGCAAGCTTATACATATCAAATACGACCTTAATTCGGTATAAAGAATTACATATATTTTGATATAAAGCAGTTGACATCAATTATCCATACTACATAGAAAACAATAACCCTTATTCCATTGACCTTCCCAAAAACCAACCACATGTAATAAAAATATGTAGGTGTTGATCAGTCGATGTCAGTTTACCAAGTATGAGACGAGGGTAGACCTTGTTAAAGCAATGCCGTGTTGGAGGTTTCCTCTCACAAACTTCCGAACCCCAAAAAAGTAATCCGTCAACAGGGGGATGCATATCTTATAAAAAGCCTTTCATTCATGCTCTCTGTCTGTATACTGAAGATGGCTCAAGCAAGCTATGCACCTTTGTCTTCTCCAGTTTCTGTGATAGGGTCTCAGTTCATGGTACCATATCAATTCGATATTATAGTTGATACAAATTCACGCGGAAACCTTGTGATCACTGATATCAACCATAGAATCCTGTTCAAAGTGAAACCATGCGACACATTCTTTCACCATCAGAGAGTGCTACTTGATGTTGATGACAAACCCATCGCTGTGATCCGTGAAAAGGTGATTTAACGCTCAAACTTTAATATAATTTGTACGTTTTTTTTTCTTGTTTGGGGTTTAAAATAGACTAATATATCTAATATCTTCCAGATCATGACTGAACACCACCGATGGAATGTATTCAAAGGTGACAGTAAAAGTAAATCGGATATAATATTTAGTGCTAAAACACCTAACATGATCCAGATTAAGACCGGTGTTCACGTGTTCTTGGCAAACAAAACCGGTAGTAATAATGTTTGTGATTTCAAGATCAAAGGAAGCTGGTCCAACAGAAACTGCACTATTTACGTGGGAGATACTTTAACACCAATAGCCCAAGTAAGTAATTCTCATACCTTTTACTTGGTTTAATTAATTTCTATTATATTTCCTTCCATCTTTTCAGTTATGCATGTGTGTATAACTGAAAAGAATGGGTAATTAACTTCATGTACTTAGAGCTCAAGCTGAAACTAATTAATGGACTTATTCTTGTAGATGTCTAAACTGGAATCATCCGTGCATGCAAAGCTGGTTGAGGGCAAATTCATGGTGACCATTTGTCCCAAAGTGGATCATGCGTTTGTGGCCACACTTATAGCGATTGTTGAGGCTATGAAAATGGTAAGCGCTGACAAAAAACAGAAACTTTTGTTGGGTGTTGGTAGAGGTGTGGGTGGTGTTGTTGTTTCTACAATACTTCCTGCAGTACTTCTTATATAGTAGTACTTGTGTTAGTTGCATTACTTGTCTCTATTCCTAAATTCCTTGTTGATGGATCAATGCGTGTATTAATTATATATAGTTTACCCTGGACCTATATGATGTGGTATTAAACATATTTTCAGTAGTTCTTCCTATTGTTTTAAGTCCCTGCTGTCCATGTTGTTTTACTCTATATTTCTCTTCTTTTTTAGCAGCAAAATGGTATAGAGGAAGATGCGAATGTGTGTTTTTTGAATAGAAAGGAAAGTTTATTATCCAAATAGTGTACAAAATATCCAACTGAAATCTTATTGGACGTCTTCCTAAAACTTGTAATAGATAGTAACAAAAAAAAGTTAGTGGAATCTTTTCAAAATGTATCGTCCTAAAGGATGAAAACGTCTAAAAGTAACCTTCACGCCGGTTTAGAAGTGAGAAAATGTGGAAACTGCTACGGAGGGTCCAAAGTGTACTTGATAAAATGTTAAGGGACTTTTTTCCTAGAAACAAAAGTCAGTAAAATGGGATGTGATCGAGGTTGGCCAAAACATATTGGGTGCAATGGGTATACGTACGTGGCTTGAATTGGGCAATTTTGGTGAATTAATTCACTTGACAGTTGCTAGTAACGACATAAAGCTGAAGAAAGCTTAAGTTTTAAATTAGTTACAAATTCAAAGTTTCAAACCAAAAACATAAACTCACTTCGAATTCGATTTATGTTTTTGGTTTGATTCGGTTTTGTTTGGTAACCACCCGAATACTTAAGTGATTAAGGTTGTTTTAAATACTTAAATATGATTTATTTTCGTTTATATAAAACCGTACTTTCAATATTATATTTTGGCCACAGAGAACTTAAGTTATGGACTTTAGCAATGTTCTTTAAATAAATTTCCACAAAATAGTCACTTCCCAATTATTGAAATAACAAAGAATGGACCCACTCATATCAACAAAAGTAGTGTATTAGTCACGTGTTGGAAAATAGTTAAAGTTAATATATATATATATATATATATATATATATATATATATATATATATATATATATATATATATATATATATATGATAATATTAATTTTTATAATTGTGATTTACATGGTATATCAACATCGAAACCAAATTTTTTGCTTTAATTTTGCTAAGTTTATTTTTTCATTTAAGAATACTTATTATATGTGTTAATATGTCTCTGAAAAAAAATTTCTAATAAAATAAGGACTATAAACAATAATTATTTAAAATTACAACAAAACACATGGAATAATAGTTATTACGTTGTTGTACATATGATCCATACTATTACTGACACAGATATGAAGTTAGTTCCTACCACATTGGTTGGCTTGAAACCCTGATACAAATATGGGTGGATCAGAAAGTATAGCAAAATACAAAAAAATATGAAAACATTCAATCGAACACCGGGTAGGTAGCTGACAAAAAATGTTTGAATCTTTAAGAAGAAATGTATAATTGAATTTAATTGGTTAAAACTATCTGAATGTAGACAAATAAAATAAGTCGAATGAAATCGAAAAGAGATTTCTCTGCAAGCAGAATATTTGAACAATGGTTGCATCTGAAATAAATGATTTCAATACATAAACTAAACATTTAAAATCCAAGTGCCCCAAAACATTTTACAAATATTTTTTCTTCACCTATAGCTACATAGTGAAAAGGGAAAGGGAAGTAATATAAATTATCACTATTCTTCATCTGGCATCTACATTAGTAAAATAACATAGATAATATAGAATTCATAATCATATCCAAGGTATACTCAAAATAATTAACAATAACATCCCATTATATAATTAAAAAAAAGGTTTTAGCTCTAAAATTTGTTTTCCGGTTTTGCGTTATCCATTTTTCGATACAAAATGGATGAATTTTGGTTCTCTATATAAGAAAAAATTTAATAAATTATGTAAAGTCAAAAGAATGATGTCGTAATTGGAGTTTTTGTTTTATTTATAGAAAAAATAAACATACACTCACACAATAACTGTTAAAGTATAGTGTTGTAATTGCTACGCATTTGAATGTAAGATGGTATAAAATGGAGTTTTCACTGTATTTTCAGAATATATATATATATATATATATATATATATATATATATATATATATATATATATATATACAAACATTAATAGAAAACGAAAATTACACATTCATTTTTTTTTCAAAAAAAAAATCAATAAACATAGTAACATAGAAACAAACACATGAACATAAATGCACACACATATGTAGACACACTCATACACAATACAATGCGGAAACAAATATGAAAAAAAAGAAAACAATACACATAGAAAGAGAACAATGCAGGAAGAAACAAAAAAAAAAAATTGAAAGTATTTTTAATAGACTTCTCGGATGGATTAAAATCGACTGGTACACACTTTGACTGTAATCAAACAGGTGCACGCTTTGATTGGAATCAAAAGAGGGAGACGACAAAAGAAGTTTAATTCCAAACAAACTAATTTCATTTCGGGTTTCGACTTTTATAACTGAAATAAAAAAGGATCGGATTTTAGTCGGTAACATAATTGGAAAATTTTTCCAGATTTCATTGATCAAACTGAATCAAACGAAATATCTATTTTTGAAATAGATAATTTATATAAGTGATTAATACGTGGGGAATTTACGTGCAAAAGTAGAGTACATTCATTTTATATTGGATGTATATTTGGTATAAGATAAAAAAAATTCAAAATATTTAAAAACAAAGCCATATCATTTTAAAAATAATCCAAAAATAATAATTTTTAAAAGTACAATCCTATTAAAGAACTTTTTTTTTAAAGTTTAATCCTAAAAACATTTTCCCTAGAAAATTGTCATATTAATTACCAACTAATGAACAATTAAAAATATATATTACATAAATGGTCTATTTGTGAAAATGCTACATAAATGGTGTGTATTAAAAAACATTCATAAATGGTCTATATATATGAAAGAAAATCTCAAGATACTTTCTGTTAACAAAATGTTTTTTTTTTTTTAAAAACAAAAGAAAAAAACTATTGTCTTAATAAGTTCTAATGTAAAAAAACAATAAAACTATTCAATGTCATCTATAATGAATTCTCAAAGTAACTTTTTTGATAGTACAATGATATTAATAAACTTTTTTGCAAAGTTTAAAGTTATTAATGAAATTTGTTTCTAGAAAGCAGTCCTTCAAATGAGCTTCAATATATAGAAAAAAAAAAATTTCATATCATCTAAAAATAATCCATAAAGGTAATTTTTAAAAAATTTCTAAGGTTATATGTGAACTTTTTTTATATTTTATTTTATTATTTTTTTTTGTTTTTTACAAAGCTCAATACTATTTTTTTTTTGTAACATTTAAGTTTGGGTAAGTTCTTGCTTTAGTCCCTTATGCTAAGATGTTTTCAATATGGTTCTTTGGTGCTATGTGGGGTGTACTTTATGAGTACTCTTAGCGTATTAGCCTCCCGATGATCGTGAATCCAATCCACATATGTCCAGTGTATGTGGAGTACGCATGCCTAGGACAAACCCTATTTTTTAGGGTTTGTGCCCTATTTAAGCATCTTAAACGCACATCTTGGACATTTTAGACAACCTCCATATCTTCTAAACCCTAAGTTCGCCCCTAGCCTTTGTTTTGGTGCTTTTGAGCTCTTGAGAAGAATTTTGGTGTGTTCTTATGCATTTTGAAGTGGTAGAAGGAGACTGAATACTCATTTCTTGGAGTAGAGATTACATATACAGAGTTAGCATCTTCATTTCGAGCGATTTGAAGTATAAAGTTCTTAGCTTGTCAACTCCTTGTGTAGATCTAGTTTAGGTTTGTTTATGGCTTATTTTGGTTCATTTTGGTTTTTACTTATGAGTAAAGGTTGTTTTAGAAGCTTAGCCCTTAGATATGGACGTTTTAAGGGTCCCTTATGCATAAAAATGCAAGGTTTATGGTGGATCTTGACCCATGCATATGTTAATGCCTTTGTTAAGCTCTTTTTGAGCTCTTGAGCCCCATTGAGCCATGCATGCTCGTAAAATTGCAAACTTTACGTGATACGTCATCTTTAGGTACAAGATTTGAGAGTTTGGATTAATGACTTAGCCGGTTAAGTGCTTAATGGAGTGGATTGGCACACTATGGAATATGCAGGGTGTACCCAATTGGTATGCTATGCGTACTACCGCAGTTGGAGTACACTAAGTGTACGAGATGAGTTCGCCTCGCGTACTCAGCAGATCGGCCTTGGACTTGGCGTTTTCGGTATTGGGCCAATGTTTGGGCCTTACTGGATCATCAAATTTCTATGTTAGACTTTGGACTAGCAGGTTGGGCTTCCTTGGATTTTAGGCCCATGATTGGTTGGACCCAATTTGGAAGATTTTGCCATATTTAGGCCTTGGGTTGCCAAGTTGAATTTGGGCCGTCATAGTAGTTGAATCGGGCCTTGGCCTTGGTTATGGGCCCAATAGATTAGGCGGGTGGTTATGGATTGGAATCCAATGAATAATTGGATATTATTGGTATGATAGCGCGGGGATTTGTTCGGCCAGCAAGTAAAGATTTAGCTGTGTGATTCAACAGTTAGAGGTGAGTTTCCTCACTGTGTTTACCGGGTCGAAGGCACCAATGTCGACCCATGGTTTATTATTAAAGAATGCTAGATGTATGTGTGACTCTTGCAAGTGTTATGTGTTGGTTTGCTTACCGGGAAAGGCCCGATGCAGGGGCGGGGCCGAATGAATTTATTGTATGTTATCGTCTTTATGATTATTGCATGTGTTCGTATGATTATATGATTACTTGTATACCAGGCGAGGCGTATTGTCGGGTGGGGCCTGATGACTGATAGATTTGTATATCGAGTGGGGCTCGTTGCCAGGAGGGCCCCGAGGTCGGGTTGGACTCGATGTCGAGCGAGGCTCGATGAAGGGAGGGCGCCCATTTTGTGTTTATTATGCATGGTATGTGGTATTGTACAGAATTCACTAACCTTTGTGCTTACGAATTTCATTTTATGTTACAGGTTCTTTTGGTTTGAAAGGGAAGAGCCGAGAACTATTGTAGAGCACACACCACCTTATTCCGCATTTTGTGATTTACTATTATGTTCTTGATGTATTAGACATCTTTTATTCCACAATGGTTTGATCATGTTGTTTTGGATAATTGTTTTAGTTATTTGGAAATCAAAAATATTTGGTCTTAATTTTTGGGACATTACAAGTTGGTATCAGAGTCTTATTTTGAGAGATTTAGACACACTCTTAGGTGTGTCTGAACTGAAATTGAGGATTTGGTAAAAAAAATTCAAAAAAGGAAATGTTTATAAAAGGGTTTTCTAATACAAGAAAAGGGTGTGGTGCATGAAATCAACCGAGCTTAAGTAAGTTTTTCCAAAATACCCACTGAAATTGAAGATTTGGTAAAAAATTTCAAAAAATGAAATGTTTATAAAAGCGTTTTCTAATACAAGAAAAGAGTGTGGTGCATGAAATCAACCGAGCTCAAGTACGTATTTCCAAAATGCCCATATATGTTATATGATATGATTTGATCTATGAATCTGTGATTCATATGTTAGTAAGGACTGAGGATATGCTCAATATTTTGCATGATAGAATGTTGGGATAGATGCCTATGTATGCCTATTGTATGAGCTTATAGAATTACATGCTAGTGCCGATTAATCCGTGATACGACAACCTAATTGGATTATGCTTGATTCGAAGTACTTAAGGCACAAAAGATGGTTGCTTTGTGCTTTTTACATGTGTCACTAACATCAGCTAATTGTAATCGAATATGTTAAGTTACGTATTATAAAGACTAAATAACTTCAGAAGGTTAGATTCTAACCATATTGCATAGCTCTTGTTTGATTCCAACCATTGTAGTGTGAGACCTCTCATTCGAAGAATTATCCGATTTTAGTGATATGTAATTATATATGCAACTAATGGCGAAGAATGGTGCGGTGGTTACCATAGGAAAACCTAGGAAGAGATTTAGTGCTGGAAGCCTTACCTTGATAAGAATTAGTTGTACAGATAAGGAGTGGATTGGAGGATTCAAGTCAATCCTTGAGAAATTACGGATAAATGTTCAATTTAATATGGGCCCGTACTACTGGAAGCAGATGATCCGTACTTGAGTCAAGGAGAGTTGCGATGAAACCATGAAGCTTGTAGAATATGAGATTCCTCGATATATATATATATATATATATATATATATATATATATATATATATATATATATATATATATATATATATATATATATATATATATATATATATATAAACAGTAAATAGTGTGAGAATGTAAAATCACTATTTTTATGTTATTATTCTGTAATGAATTTTATATCCACAACTTTATGTTATTATTCAGCAATGAATAAGTGAATAGTCATAAATTAAAACTAAAATTATAATTTACTACAAAAATACATATGCATAAATTTATAATAAAATAATAACATTCTAATGAATATATGAATAATCAAATGTTGATATTCATTTTAAAATAAATTCAATAATACAGATAGATAACATTCATTACAAAATAATAACATAAACATAATGTTTTTACGTTCTCACATTATTTAGTGTTTCTAATTGAGCTTATCTATCTATCTATCTATCTATCTATCTATATATATATATATATATATATATATATATATATAGATACGTATTCTGATGGTTTATATGGTGTACTTTCAGTATGGTGACTCTTCGAGGCAGACTGGTTAGTAGTTCTAGCGCAGGTGAGGGCTTGGGCTCGGATTATGGAGCCAGGAAGTTAGATGATCAGATGCGTAAGTTCATATCATCTGAGATTACCTACAACATTGTTGAGTGGACTCTTGTGATCTTTGGTACGTTTAAGGTTGGTATCATGGAGGTGTTGGAGGTGCGCTGGGGCTCTTTTCCTTCTGAGATGGTAGCCTTGATAAGGGCGGATTTTTTGATATTTAGGGAGTTTTTGGGCATGTGGGGTTCCAGAATACTATGAGCAGAAGAACCCGATATCGAGTAGGTGTTGGTTAACGGAATGCTTCTAACGTCTTTGACACCAGCAGTTGTCCCAATAGGGCAAAGATCAGACTTGCATCCTGTCTTCTGAAAGACAAAGCTCGATACTGGTGTTAGGAGGTAGGACATGCGTTATAAGGCAAGGTGACTGTGTGCATGACATGAGATGATTTTGTAACCAGATTCAAGACTGACTTTGCACTAGTGATTAAGGTGCAACAGTTGGCGTGAGAGTTTTAGGATCTCCGCCAGACTATTGATACGATGGATAAGATCACCATGATGTTCTGGGAGAGAGCGTTGTTGGTTACGCAGTATGTGGCAGACAAGGAGATGAAGAAGGCAAGGTACCATGAGACGTTCAGGAGCAATATCTGGTAGTTTATGAGCCAATCCAGATGCAAGACACTAAAGGATATGATGGTATATATATATATATATATATATATATATATATATATATATATATATATATATATATATATATGCGGCAAGATGCACGGGGGAGCGTGCAAGGTGGGTGGTTATGGCTACTTCATGTGTGGTGGAATAGGTCATTTTAGAAGGGATTGTATTGCTACTACCACCACTAGCTCAAGATCTACTCTAATTTACTTTAATTGCAATCAGAAGGGCCATAAGAAGGCCAATTGTCCGAGTTTGACTGTAGCAGGGTCAGTATCAGCACCCGCTCCTGCGAGTTTACCGATCACTGATGGTCACCAAGGCAAGGAGAATGAACCTATGGTGACGAACAAGGAGGATCGCGCGGTACATGATGTAGGGAGGGTATGTATACTCTCATTATATCTTTATTTATATTGATTTCCCTGCTTATATTTTTGTTTTTTATTTTTACGATCGTTCCCTATGAACGATATTTCTGCTTTGGTATTGTTTGATTCGGGGGCTACCTGATCATTTGTATCGCTTACTCTTAGCAAGAGGTTTGTTAGGATTAAAATCCTTTATGATAGATAAGATTCAAGAACGGATAAACAATGAACACAATAACGATTCAAGAAAGTCGAATGGTTAATCTTCACGCATTAGAAGAACTCTATGAAGAATTGCTATTGTAGAGGCGTGTTTAGGGCTACAAAGTAAAAGATAGGAGTTAAATACAATACGATCCATGCAAGAATCTTATATACTCTAACCCTATTAAATATGGTGGACAGGCTTAACCATTTACACAATAAACTTTAATAAAATCCCAATGACGCAACACTATAATCCCAACAATCTCCCCCTTTGCGTCAATCGAGGCGATAGTCCTTCAGTTCCGAATCCGATTTTTCACTTCAGAAACTTTAGGAATAACATTCAATTGTGCCCTATGAACCTAGATATACCAACTGATCATATCCGAAAAGCACTTCTTGTCACCAGCACTGTTGCCTCTGAACTTGTTGGTCATACTCAAAACATGCTCGAGACTAGAAGTAGAGTATAAGTGTTTATCCTCCAAGAATAGGCACACCTTATGATATTAAGAGTCATTTCATTCACGTTCCTGGAACACCATGTACCAACCTTCCTTGTAGATCATCCCCAGTTTCAGCTTTTCAAGATCTTCAGGAGATTGTTTAGGAACAACTGAAGGCTTCCTTCATAGAAAAGTACCAATCTCAACATCCATTGTAACCACTTCTTGAATGTAAGAGATGATCATCAGTTTAAGATGGTTGATCATAGGTTCACATTTTTAATCTTCACAAATAAGCATATTGTAGAGCATAATCCAGTCATTAGCATTGATACACAGCAGATCTGTGAGAGTAAACTCATAAACTTGGCTTGTAGAACCTCTGAAAACTTTGAATTTAGCGTTTAGGAAGATATCAGTTTTCAATAGGTACAATAACATTTACCGCTGTGATCTTGCTTGCACTCCAGGTTTCGTACTGGGGCTTCATATATTTGAGGTAGAATGCGAATAGAAGTTGATCAGTTCCACAGTTAGTTAAGGGAACGTTCACAACTTTGATGAAAGAGCAAAACTTGAAAGCTTTCAGAGTCACTGGTAGATCAAGCTGTGAGTCCAGATGTTTTGAAGTTCAAAGGATACAACAGGCTCTAAACAATATTCTCTTGGCATGTCAACAACTTCGTATTGAAGATGCTTCAGAGTCCACGTAGGAAACACAAGCTTTTTGCTCTCAAGTGTCACCTGAGCTTCTTTTTCTGCCTTCTCCTTGGCTTCAACTTCACGTATAATACATTGATGTTCGTCCATCTCTGCTTCGTGATCCTTTCTCCTTTTCAACTCTGCTTCATCAAGCTCTTCCTCTTCTTCGTTGTCAATGATGGGATCATCAGAGAAAAGTTTCTATTTACCCTTTGGCTCTGTTTCACTTTTAACAACAGGAACAAGCTTGACTACAGTTGGTTTCGATTTCACAACAGTTGTCTTTGTTTTCTGCTTTAGTGTTGGCTTTGTTGTTGTTGACTTTGGCTAGTCTCTCCCTTGTTTTGGAATACTGCAAGATTCCGAAACACCTTCCAACCAATGAAGAATAGCGAATGCGGGACTCAGCTTTTCTCCCAAATGTTTTCACACATTGAGGAGAATCATCAGATCCCTGGCTTCAATAAGATCTGAGAGCAAGGCAGTGACATCATAGATGCAACTTTTCATAACTTCCTTCTCTGATAACAGATCTTGGACCTGTTTCTCCGATTGTTCGAGCTTTAACGAGAGTGTCTTTGCCTTCTCAACCTTCACAGTGAGTGCGTCCATTATTTTTCTTTCCATTGCTAGATCATCATGAATCTTGGAGAGTTGAGATGAAATGGAAGACTGGAACTTATCGTGGTCACCTTTAAGACAATTGTAAATGTCTTGAAATTCTGATCGCTCAGACTTAAGAGAAGTGCTCAGTCCAAATAGTGAAGGGACTGAAGGTAAAGCCCTGGAAATCATCCTCACCATCCCCATAAATCATGTCTGGTTCATCAGTGCGAAAAAGGGAAATAGGTGGAGAAACATAAGTGGTGGTGAAACCTAAGACTCTAGCCCCGAAATCCGATGTGTTGACCGAAATAGCAGGTGTGGCTGATGTAGTTGGTGGTGGTGTGGATTCAGTGAAGATTGGAGTAGAAAGAGGAATACTTGTTTGTTGTGATGAAGAAACGGGTGGAAGACAAGGTGCAATAGTAATAAGTGTAGTAGTAGTTTTAGGAGAAGGAGGAGGAGAAAGAACAAATTCATTGATCGTTTGGGTTACCTCAAGGTTCATAATCTCTCCATCATTATGAACACGAGGCTCTTCATTGCGAACTAGATCTTCTTCATTGTGAACGTGTTCTTACTCCTCATTGCGAACATGTTGGTCTTCCTCAATCCGAATATCCGATTTAGTCTTAGATTCTGAACCTTCACTCTCACTTGGAGTGGGAGACTTTCGCTTACGAGTGGGCTGTTTTCGTCTTTTAGGAGCAGCAATAGAAGACGTTGCTGGTGCCTTTCGCTTTTTGGTAGAAGGTTTCGTAATTGCAGAAGATCCCTCCTTATCATCAGATTTCTTCCCTCCCTTCTTTGCACCCTTACCCCCTTTTTTTAGTTTTTTCTGCATCTTCCAATATTGCTTGAAATTCAGGAGTCAAAGGACGAAACCCAGAAGGAGTTAATTTTCAGTATCCCTCCAAAATCTTGCTCGCAGCCGGTACATCTTGGAACATAACTTCCGGAATAGATCCAATGAAAGAGTACTTCGAGGAATCAGAGACAATGATTCCAGTAGTATGAAAAGTGGAAACAATTGTCATCTGTGCATCAACCATTAAAGGAATATTAAGCTTGTCAATGGACCTGCGAGCAATAATGGTCCAGAAACGTGCATAGGAAATCTCACTGTGACGTGTGGTAGAGTGGGTGCTTTGAATGACTTGAGCCCAAAGAACAGACCCATAGTCGATGTTCAGACCTGTGTAGAGACCATACATGAGTGCCATGAACATCTTATTGTCATAGTCGGAACCAGTCACCCTTTCAAAGAAACCTTTGAACAACACAGTAAAAAGGCCATTCCATTGAGGAGGCAGATTTGGTTTTCTGAACTTTGACACAACAGTTAGGGTTTCTTTGTACCCCATTTGGTAGAACAATTTCAGGAGAGCAACGTTAGAGATGGTTTCTGGGTTGATCATATCATCAAATTGAGGAAGCCCAACAAGATTGCAGAAACGAGCTTTGGCGATAGAGGTAGTACATTTATGGATTTCGAAGGATATCTTCTGCCCCTCCTTCATGTAGTTGGCATAGGTATAGGCTTTAGATAGCATAGATAGTGGAGCATTCTCCATCTTGGTATGAGCAATCGTCAGTGGGGAATACTTGAGACACTCGATGATCGGAAGCATGAACGGTTCATACTTGCACGGTTCGAAATCAATCAACAGGTTCTGGTGTTGTTTGACAGTTAGGAGAGAGGAGTGAACAGTTTGATCTTGAACAAAGAGATTTTCATATGAGCTTGCAATTGTTGAGAGCTTGACTGAGAAGAAGATGAAAAGTAGAGAGCTTTTGTTTTCCTGAAATCTTTTGAGAGGATTTTGTAAGTGATAATGAGATATAAGTTGCCAAAAGCTTTATATACGGTTCTATTTGTGAGCTTTATATCGGCTACTAAAACATCGCCTAAAAAGCGTGACTTGACAACTATCACGTGTCAGACCCATGCGTTGTAAAAGTAGCTGTCAGTTCAAATTTTCATGCGCCTTTTTGAATTCTTATCATCAGGAATTGCCACGTTATCACCAACCTTTAGCAGTGAAATATCTTTGACCTTTCCATTATTAACAATCATTTTTAGAAAACTTGGGTTAAACTGTGAATCCTAAAAGTAACAATAAAAACCATGAACAAGACTTTTGGAAAATCTGAAGGACCTTCGTTCAAGATTGTCAAAGATAAATAAATAAATCAAAATATATCTGAGGAATTTCCTGATGTCTATATAAAAACACAAAACTGTTGATCTCGGGCATAGATTTCTTCCTTCGAAGTCAAAAGAGACTAAGAAGTGTCTGTTTGGTTTCCCATTGAAATACGATCAAATGTTTGATAAGAAACATTGAAAGGCCACTTTTAATTTGGCTAAATGGATGGCTAAATCTCCAACCAAACAATGCACTTTATATAAGTACGAGTGTTGGATGAAGTACTTGTATGACCAGTGTAGTCAGTTGAATGAGTAAGCTTAGAATTATTTTAGTGACTAAGCGAAACATTGGAATCTCAAAAAAAAAATGGATCTTATGGGAAGAAGTGACTTGGTACAAGAACACTTCATCACGATCTTATATTAGAAAAAGAGATTCCTTTGTACAAACCACGAAAGTGGCTTTCGTTAATTCCATAGTGAAAATCTAGAACATTTAATTGTTCACTGTCAATTCATGTAAGTGTGCTGGATTTTGGGTTTCACGCAGTTCCTAGTAAACGAAGCTAAGATCATTAACTCACAAATTATGTAACCATAAACCTCAGTGGTATTGTTGAGAATCTCAAGTGTTGCATTTATGAGTGCAAAGGTAAATGAAGAAATATGAAGATGGTTCTAGAGAAGTGAATGTCCCTTTGCTATATAAAAATGACTGAGCATATAACTCTTAACTCAAGGTGAAAAGAGTAAGGTAGCTCATGAATAATGTGAATTCGCATTCTGATTGGGATGAATTGATTGGTGGAATCAATTCATTAAGGCATCAGAATTGAGTCGTTGAGGCTTACGACAACATGCAACAGTATGATTCTAGGGACACTTAGCTAATACATAGATATATAAATAATTTTATAACTATCCCATCATACAAATTGATAGATGTCATGAACATCTCCCATGAGCTTTATGTATGTCTAATATTTTTGGTATTTTTATAATTTGTGAACATAAAAGAAATAAAATTAAAACACAAAGAAAATATTTTTGTAATTTTGTTTTTCTGAAAAGAAATAAGACAAAATCAAATAAATTATTTTCGGATTTTGAGATTTTCTGAAAAAGAATTAAAAACAGAAAATATACAAAAATGAAACAAGGATAAACAATAATATACACAAAGTACAAAAGGATATAAGGGACCAAACCACGAATGAACAGTGGACTGCGAACTACTACGAACGTTTGCACTGATTCGCATTGATAAAGTAGAATAAACAATTGTCTGCGAACTACTACGAACGTTCAAACAGATTCGTAGTGATACCTATATGAGTGAGAAAGTATTTTGTGTACAGATTCAGCTTCCATCATTCCTAGCCCTTGAAGAATTCTATTAAAGGTTGTTTCAGGTAGGGCCTTTGTGAATATGTCAGCTAAGTGATCAGTGGATCTTATGAAGTGTATCTCAACGTTGCCATCTGCCACATGATCCTTGATAAAGTGATACCTCAGTGCTATATTTTTTGTCTTTGAGTGTTGTACTGGGTTGTGACAAATGAGAATCGCGCTTTCAGAGTCACACTAAAGAGGGATTCGTTTCATACTGAAGCCATAATCATGAAGTTGGCTTTGAATCCAAATGACATGGGATGTGCACGAAGCTGCAGCTATGTATTCAGCCTCAACGTTGTTGATAACAACACTGCTGATAATGATACGCATGTTTGCTTCTTGGACAGCCAACTAACTAGTTTGCCATCGAGAAATTGGCATCCACTAGTTGTTCTCTTTCTATCTAAACCACATCCCCCATGTTCATCATCTGAACATACTTGAACGAAGAAGCCTGAGTTCGTAGGATACCGTATGCCTAAAGATGAAGTTCGTTTTAGGTATCTGAATATATTCTTGATAGCCACCATATGAGGTTTGCGAGGATTTTCTTGGAACCTAGCACAATAACAAATGGAAAACATAATATTTGGTCTACTAGTTGTTAGATACATTAGTGATCCTATCATTTGTCGATAAAGGGTCATATCAGCAGTTGGTTTTTCTAGAGATGGTGTCAGTTTCATTCCGAATGCCATTGGAACCTTCACTTTAGAGTCTCCCACCATTCTAAACTTAGTGAGTAAAGTATTTGTATAAGCTTCATGGTTTAAAAAATTCCTTGCTGTCCCTGTCTAATATTCTATCCAATGAAAAACTTAATTGGACCCATTGAGCTCATTTCAAACTTAGTTTCCATCAACTTTCAGAATTCAACTGTTAGGCTGGGATTAGTAGATCCAAAGATGATGTCATCAACATAAATTTGGATGATCGTCAAGTGGTCACGCTCTTTTATGAAAGAAGGTTGGGTCAACCGATCCTTGTTTAAATTTGGACATTTTTAATAAGCGAGTAAGAGTTTCATATCATGCTCATGGAGCTTGCCTCAGTCCATAAATAGCCTTGTCCAAGATGTAGCAGTGATTGGGATACTTCTCATTTATGAACCTAGGTGGTTTTTCCACGTATACTGTCTCTTCTAGTTCTCCTTTCAAGAGCACACATTTAACATCCATCTAAAACACTTCAAAATTCTTGTGTGTTGCGTATGCCAAGAAGATGCGAACAGATTCCATCATTGCAATAGGTGCGAAGGTTTCTACGTAGTCAATACCTTCTTCTTGACAATATCCCTTAACCACGAGTCTCACTTTGTTTCTTATTACATTCCCTTCTTTATCCAGCTTATTGCAAAAAAAAAAAACCATTTCAAACCAACAACAAATGCTTCAGGTGGAGTAGAAATCAATCTCCAAAATTTGTTTCATTCGAATTCATTGAGCTCGTCTTGCATCGCTTGCACCCAATCGGAGTGATCAAGAGCAACGTTGATGGTTTTGGGTTCGATCTTGGATACGAATGAATTGAACCTACATAATTACACTTTAGAGAATAATGCAGTTCGTTTCGCTTTTATTTGAGATCTCGTAAGAGCTCCTGCAGAAGATTCACCAATGACTTGAGTTTTGGGGTGATCTCTGGTCCATTTGGCTAACGGAGGATAATTTGGATCACAAGAGGGATCCAATTCAACGTTTACTTCTTTGAATTCTGATTGAACGTCCGAATCGTCATTCGCATCCTAATTCTCCCCCTCGAATGATGAGTGGTCCTCTTCACCAGGAATTGAAGTATCTCCTATGAATGGAGGTTCGAGAGAGACTTTGGGAGGTGAGTTAATTGTATCAGAAGGTGGGTCAGACAAAAGAGGTAAATTGTAACCCTCCCCCTGTGATGGATTGTTCGTTTCTTGTGGAGTCAGTTGCTCCCCCTGAGGACGTGCATTGGAGTCAGAATTCTCCCCCAGGAATTGAGTGGTCGTGTCTTGAGGTACGTTCGTAGTCAGCTGCTTTTGCTTTAGAAGTGATAGTCTTCTATGGATCATCAAAATGTAGCATGAATTCTTCATAAAGATTGGAGATTGGAACAGTGGCTTGACTTGGCTTAGGAAAGATTTCCTCCAATTGACTTTCTTTCGACATAATCATCTTAAAGTAGTTATGATCGAAGTTAACATAGTAGGTTTCTTTTATCTTCTTTGACCGTTTGCTAAGAACCCTATATGCCTTAAAGGTTATCTAATATTCCAAGAATATACCCTCGTCAGCTTTCACATCGAATTTGTTTTGCTGTTC